CCTCCTCCTCCTCCTCCTCCTCCTCCTCCTCTGTGGCCTTTTTAGGGGTCCGTTTCCTCTCTACCTCAACACCCCGATGCCTCCCCCTCCCTGTGTGTAACCTCAGCTGCACTATCACCCCGACTCTGATCAGCCCCACCTCCGAGCCCCGCCGACACCGGCTCTGCTGCTTCTGACAATCCGACCCAGGAGCGCTGCTCGGCGCGCACTCACTGCGGCGAACCCCGGCGGACATCAGCGGTTCTTTCCCTCCCTTTCCTCTCAGCCTGGCCGCAGAGGGAAGCTAGCTGGCCGGCTGGCTGGCCTGTTCCACTTCACACCCACACAGACAGCAAACCCAGTTACCAGTCTACCCCTACAGCCGCCTCCCCCTCCAGTTTATCCGTGACCCCCAACCCCCAGCAGATCTCCCGTGACACACGCCCCACAGCGCCCGAGCCTCGGGTCTCGCCATGCCGGGTCCGGTGGCCGGTAGCAAGTCCCGTGTGTACGCAGACGTCAACACGCTGAAGAGCCGGGAGTACTGGGACTACGAGGCCCACGTACCTAACTGGAAGTGAGGACATTTGTGTTTACTGCAGGTTGCTGTAATTGCATGCATGTGATGTCTGACCACAGCGGATAATGGCTCTGTGTATGCATGTGTGTCGGTGGAAGAGGGAAAGTGTGGCAGATGGGTGTCTATTATTATACATCTAGCTGTGAGGGTGCGATGACAGGGTGGTGGTACAGTCTCTCAGCCCACTACCCTGCTGTTCTGCACTGTCTAACACTTTCCTCCCTCACCTCCATCTCTGTCCCCATGTTCCCCCTGTCTGTTGAGAAACATCTGCCCCGAGATCAGAGCCAGAAATGCCTTCATTCCCCGGGGCAGAGCTTCATCTCTGACAGAAGAACACTTGCTCAATACTCACTGACTTGATTGCACACTGACGCTGAAAATATTATTCTTTCTTTTCTCACAAAGTCACACTTTGCTCTGCACTGTTTCTCTGCCTGTCCCTATAGCAACCAGGAGGACTACCAGCTGGTTCGTAAGCTGGGCAGAGGGAAGTACAGCGAAGTGTTCGAGGCAATCAACATCACCAACAATGAGAAGGTGGTGGTCAAGATCCTGAAGGTGAGCAGTTGGACCTCCTCGAGCTGAATGCTGAATGTGTGGTCTGGAGCCCTCCCCTTGAAATGGACTACAGTATACATTGTCAGTGAGCGTAATATCAAGAATGAGAGTCTTGATTCTTAAAATTCCTCGGAACAGACTCAGAGATTGGATGACAAACCCTGCTGACCTTTGTTGACAGCAGAGGCTTGAAAAAGGTGGTGCAACAAGGTTTTCTAGCAGATGGACATTTTGTGTGTTGGACTATTTGATAGATGTTAGGGTTAGTGTAAAAACATTTAGTCGATTAAGCAATTACTTTATCCCCCAATTTAATCTGCGTCTGGTTTTGATCATCAAATATTTTGTTAATTATTATTAT